GCTGTCTATGGGCTTACCTTGTTTTACTGTGCTTTGCTGATACTGCGTTTTTTACAAATTGAAGGTTTATGGTAAACCCGCATCAAGCAAGTCTGTCGGCACTACTTTTCCAGCAGCCTTTGCTCACTGTCTCTGTGTCACATTTCGGTAATTCTTGGAATAGTTCAAACTTCTTCATTATTATTATATTTGAATTGCTACAATTTCATGATAAAATTTTAACAGATGAGAAGTTTCTTCTTATGGATGAGCAAAGAAAGCGGTTCCTTTTTTTTTTTTAAGATTTTATTTAGTTATTTATTTGAGAGAGTGAGCAAGCATGAGCCAGGGGAGGAGTGGCAGAGGGAAAGGGAAAAGCAGACTCCCCACGGAGCAGGCAGCCCAGTGATGTGGGGCTCGATCCCAGGACTCTGGGATCATGACCTGAGCTGAAGGCAGACGCTGAAATGACGGAGCCACCCAGGCACCGCAAGAAAGTGGTTTCTTGAGATGACATCTATTCTTGGTAGATGCTGTGAAGATTGTTGAAATGACAACAAAGAGTTTAGAATATACATAAACTGAGTTGATAAAGCAGAGGCAGAGTTTGAGAGGATTGACTCCAGTTTTGAAAGAAGTTCTACCTTGGGCAAAATGGTGCCAAACTGCACTGTATGCTATAGAGAAATCCTTCATGGAAGGAAGAGCCCATGGATGCAGCAAAGTTCACTGTGGTCTTTTTTTTTTTTTTTTAAGGTTTTATTTATTTACTTTGACAGAGTGAGAGAGACAGCGAGAGAGGGAACACAAGCAGGGGGAGCGGGAGAGGGAGAAGCAGGCTTCCCGCCCAGCAGGGAGCCCGATGCGGGGCTCGATCCCAGGACCCTGGGACCATGACCTGAGCCGAAGGCAGACGCTTAACGACTGAGCCACCCAGGCGCCCCAACTGTGGTCTTATTTTAAAAAATTGCCACAACCACCCCAGCCTTCAGCATCCACAGCCTGACCAGTCAGCAGCCATCCATACGGAGGCAGGACCCTCCACCAGCAAAAGGATTGGGACTCACTGAAAGCTCAGATGACAGAGTTTTTTAGCAATAAAGCATTTTTTAATTAGAGTATGTACATTTTTTTTAGACATCATGCTATTGCACACTTAATATACTGCAGTATAGTATAAACATAACTTTCATATACACTGGGAAACCGAACAATTCATTTTGACTCAGTTTTTGAGGAGGTCTGAACCTGTACCCACGATATCTCCAAGGTCTGCCTGTAATAGGTCTTAAAATCAGACTGATTCAACCCACTTTATATTCTTTTTTTAAATTGCTTTAGCTATTCTAGTTCCTTTGCGTTTCCATATAAAAGTTAGAATAATTGTGTCTATTTCTACAAAAATCTTGCTGGAATTTTGATAGGAATTATGTTAAACCATATATCAGTTTGGGGAGAATTGACATCTTCACTATGTGAAGTCTTCCAAACCGTGAGTATGGTATGTCTCTTCATTTATTTAGCTTTTTCTTTCTTTCTTTCATCGGTGTTTTGTAGTTTTCAGCATACAACTCGTGTATGTTCTGTTATATTTACACCTAAGTTTTTGGTTTTGGGGGGTTTTTTTTTTAGCGTTTATGTGGTAGTATTGTGATTTTAATTTCAGTGTCTACAGAGTCATTGCTAATATATGTAAATACAATCAATTTTGTATATATATCTTGTATCCTCTGACCTTGCTGAACTCATTTTTTAGTTCTAGGAGGGTTTTTTTGTAAATGCCTTAGAATTTTGTGTATACAATCATGTAATCAGCAAACAGAGATAGTTTTATTTCCTCCTTTCTGATCTGCTTTCCTTTTCTTGCCTTGTCACACTGGCTAGAACTTCTAGAACTTCTAGAACTTCTAGCACAGTGTTTAAGGAGCATAGTGAGAGCAGACATCCCTGCCTTGTCACAGTTTAAGCAAGAAGCTTTCAGTCTTTCACCTAATGTGAGCTGTAGTTTTCTGGTAGGTGTTCTTTTTCCTGCTTCTCTGAGAGTTTATGAAATGAACAGATGTTAAATTTTTTTCAAATGTTTTTATAAACTGATATGATCATGTGTTTTTTTTTTTTCTTTAGCTATCAATATAGTAGATTACATTCATTGATTTTCAAATACCGAACCAGCCTTGCATCCCTGGAATTAACCCCATTTGATCTTGGTGTATAATCATTTTTTATATTTTGCTGAATTCAAATAGCTAATATTGTGTTAAGGATTTTTACATCTGTATTCATGAGGAATAATGGTCTGTCCCTTTCTTTTTTTGTTGTCTTTGTCTGGATTTGGTATCAAGTTAATACCGGCTTCGTAAAATGAATCGGAAAGTGTTCCCTCCTCTTCTGTTTTCTGGAAGAAATTGTTTAGAAATGTGTTAATTCTTCTTTAAATAGGATTCTCCAGTGAAACCATCTGCACCAGGAAATTTTGTGGGCGGGGGGGCTTTAAAATGAGAAATTCAATTTCCCTAATAGTTTAAGGCTGTTCAAATTACCTATTTCATGCTGGGTGAGTCTGGTAGTTCATGCTTTTCTAGGAATTGCTCCATTTTCCTCTAAGATTTCAAATTTCTGTGTGTAGAGTCGTATGTAGTGTTTCCTTATTATCCTTCAGGGTTTGTAGTCATATCCCCCCTTCATTCCTAATACTGCGAATCTGTGTCTTCTCTCTGTGGTATTTTTGCCAATCTTGCTAGAGATTTGTCAGTTTATTAATATTTTTAAATAACCAGCTCTTGGCTTCACTGATTTTCCGCCTTGTTTTACTGTTTTCTTTTTCATTGATTTCTGTTCTTTATTACTTACTTCCTTTCTTCTGCTCTTGCTGTGCGTTTATTTTGCTCTTCGTTTTCTAGGCTCTTAGATTATTGAGTTGAGTTTCTCCTCTCTTCTAATGTAAGCATTTAGTGCTATAAATGTCCCTTTCAGCACTGCATTATCTATGTCTCACAGAGTTTGGGTGTATTCTATTTTCATTTTCATTCAGTTCAGGGTCCATTTTTATTTCTTTTGAGATTTCCTCTCTGACCCATGAATTACTTAGGGGCGTATTGTTTAATTTCCAAGATTCTCCTGTCATCTTTCTGTTACTGATTTCCAGTTGGATTCTCTTATGGTCAGAGACCATATTCTACATGGTTTCAGTTCTTTTAAATTTGTTGAGGTTTTCTTTGTGGTCCAGGATATGTCTTGGTCTGTCTTCGTCTATGCTTCCTAGGCATCTGAGAAGAATATGTGTTCTGCTGTCATTATGTGGAGTGGTCTCTTTCTTGTTTGATGGGCTTCTCAATTTATGTCAAGTCTTCAAGATCATTAACTCCCAAAGGTTATGCAATACATTATTTCTCCCAAGGATTTCAGAATCAGTGATCTAAAATCCTGCTGAGTTCACCAAAGAAGCCCGTGAAACTTTCTCACTGGTGGCTCTTGTCAGGGGAGTCACTTTCTCTTCCCTGGTATAGGGGTAGGCCTCCCTGAAGGATAGGGCCTTGGATCAGCTAGCAGCTCCACACAGGGCTCTATGAAAATTTTACTCTTATGGTTTTGGGAGATACAACAAGACATCATTTTTCTTCTTCTCATCCAGTCTTAGAATGCTAAAGCCAGAGAGAACCTTGGGTCATCACCCATTCATTTGGCAAGTGAAGGGATGAGAGGTTTCAAGAGGCTAATTTAGATTGATTGTTTTTTAATTACTTTTCATGAAATTAACATATGTTCATTATAGAAATGTGTTAGATATAGAGAAACAAAAATAAGAAAAAAGTGTATATATAATCTTACAACCAAAAAATAATCACTATCATTATTTTGGAGTGTATCTTCCCAGTGTCTTCAAAAATGAGATCACACTGTATTACCGTTTTACAATCTCTCTCTCTCTCTCTTTTTTTTTTTGCTTTAACAATAGACATGAACATTTTCCAGAATGTTATTTCTGATAGCAGAATGTACTTCCACAGACCAGATGTACCATCACTTATTTAATGTCTCCCTGATGGACACTTCGGCTGTTACGGTTTTCACTAGGTTAAGTAACACAACGATGAACATTTTCTATGTGCGTACACGTCCTTCTTCCTAGGAACGGATCATTAGATCAGAACATGGGAACGTTTTTTTGCTCTTGAGCCCCATCACCAAACTGGATAATTGAGATTTTTTGTTCGTTTGGGCAGGTTTTGCTTGGTTTTCATCTGTTTGGGTTTTAGCAGAGGGCTAGCCAACAGAGAGTACATGACTCAGGAGCAAGTCTTATGTAGGTTCTCAGGGTTTTAGGGCGTGAACAAATGGCCACCTGGAGCCAGGGCCAGCTCTCTCCCTTCCCAGGAGCAGGGAGTGCTGGAAAGAACAGTGCCGTAAGCATCTGTGCTTTCCTATGAGGCCTCTGGCACGGGGCCCAGCCAGGAAACAGGAAAACTGGCAGGTTATATTCAGCCTGGGACCTGAACCTAGTGAAGCCACCACCCAGCCCAGGGTTACGTGCCAGGCAACAAAGGGACAAACTTGCTTACCCCAACCTGCTTCCTCTCTCCAGGACCTGCCATGAGATGAGGACACTGTGTTTTACATTTGAAATATGCCTTGAACTCACCTTGTCCTAGTAATTACCCCCATAAAGTGGAGCAGGGCACTAAGTGAAAACTTCCTGTATTTAGAGACGCAGTCCTGCCTGCTTTTTATGGCTGGTGCAGACTACAGGAGGACCAGGGTCCGGTCACTCTGCCGAGAGACCTCTGAGAGACGGGTTGGTGGGAGCAGGCCAGGAAGGGAAGGAGCGTCTGAAGGTGGACAGGAAGACTCCAGGCCCTGGAGAGGCCTTAGTGTGCTGACGGTGGGCCCGAGGGTCCCTCCAGGTAACCCAGGCAGCTCCATGCCGCAGCGTTGGGGCCACCTGCCCATGACATTCCGATTCGGGCCACCATGATCCACAGACTTTTCCCCTTCTCCATCTGTCTTTCTTTTTTGGTCCGTAGAGAAAGAAGAATTAATCCAGAGTGTGCTGACCCAGGTGGCAGAGCAGTTCTCAAGGTACAGAATCTTCTAGACACATAGTCCCTGGAGAGGTATGCCTGTCTGTGCACGGCAGTGGTGGGCCCTCGCCCGGAGGCCATGTGGGCTGGCAGGCTCCGACACATCACTCACCTGGAGGAGTGGCCTTCCAGACGGAGTCCTTTTATGACTTCTGTAACGAAGCCAGGGCGGATGGGGGCCAGGAAGCAGTCCCCTTTTACCAAAGACCTCGGCAAGTGGGCACTTTGAGAGTGGGAGCTCGTGTTGCTGAGACTTTTCTCCACTGGCTCTTCGGGGACTCAGAGTTCAACCTATGAGAATTGACACCATTTTTTAAGTGGGCTTTAAAATAAGCATTGCCATGGAGATCCTGTGTAGACGTGGGACTTCTTTCCGTGATGAGTTATCCTACCAGGTCCAAAGGAATGCTTTCCATTGCTCAGTCACTGCACTGTGGTGTCTCACTGTCCCAGGGGCCTGCGGTGACACATCCTTAAAGGCCGAGTGGTTACAGTGAACGGGCTGGAGTCTGGAGAGGGCACACCGGGTCCCCTGCAGGGGTCTGTGCCCAGCAGGGCAGGGGGCGGGGGTTGGGGGGCCTCCCTGGAGAGCAGGTGTGGGGGAGTAAACACACCTGCCAGCCTTTTGTCATGGAAAACAGGTCCGGGCGATCCTTTGAGGGTGTGTTTGTTTCCTCCCTGCCCTTCAGAGGCCTTGAGCACCCTAGCGTCCTGTGCCCCCTACAGGGGTGAGCCCACGGAGAGGGGGGTGGAGCCCACTGGGAGGCCTCGCCCAGGGCAGGGGGTGCAGCAGAGGTTTGCCACGCCCATTTCAACTTTGAGAATTTTAAGAGTGATGACTTTTTTTTCATTCCTAGAGCATTTAAAATCAACGAACTGAAAGCAGAAGTCGCAAACCACTTGGCCGTGCTAGAGAAGCGAGTGGAATGTGAGTGCGGTTTCTGTTTCCTTTTTGCTTGTCTTTTAACCTCTGTTTAAATTAACTGCGTCTCCCCCGGGGGCTGAGTGGCGAGGGGAGGGAGGGAAAGCTGGAGGTACGTGGGAATGTCTTCTCTTTGTGAATGCTTAAAAATTACCTTTGATGCTAAGGGAGGCAAGAGCAGTGAGCATCTGTTTATACTGTGAAAGTCGCTTGGTGACCAGTGACAGGTGAGGAGCGCACGGTGCCTCGGGCCGCCGCCCCTGCGCGGTAGCAGCACGTGGAGGCGCTCCTTCGGCGCAGAAGAGGACAGAATGAAAACTCGAAGCCCCCCAGACCGGCCTCCTTGGGAGAGGGCCTTCTGCTGCACATCTTAGTGTCTCTTTTTACATAAACGAGGCAAGCCAATACACACAACTGTTTGAGGAATATGCCTGCCAAATCGTTAGCTCTTGGTTCCCCGTCACCACTGAGGCAAGCAGAAAAACTTCCAGCAACCAAGGAGGGTTGGTTCGGGGCTTGACTCAGGGACCAAACAGCTGAAACTGGGAGGGGGACATCTTCCACCCCTCACCCTCTGTGTCTTCGTCCATGAAATAAGGAGCAGTGCTGGAATTCTCACGCTTCACGACTCCCCATCCAACTCACACATCTTTGTCAATGTCAAGGCAAAGGGCAGCCTGTTTATTAAGCTCAGGGATGACGCGACCAAACCCGAACCCAAGGCCGGCAGGGCTGTGGCGTCCCCGGCGGGCATCTGGCTGATTCGTATTCACAGGACCCACTGAATGTCACTTTCCATATCTTGTATGAATTGCTTGGATTTTTTTTTCAAGAAGAACACTCAGGATCATGCAAAAACCTATTCACCTTAATAACTTGAAACATGACTTACATAGTCCTACTTCTCAGAGTATGTTGGCATTCAGAAAATCCATTTGATATTCTGTCTTCAAAACCGATTTATTTTCTCCATTGATGACGAAGAAGCCACAAAGAGATTAAGTGACCCGCTGAAGCTCATCCAGCAAATTGGGAAAGTAAGACTGAGGTCCGGGCGGGGCCACTCGAGCTGTGCAGGATCCCCAGGGCACCTGGGAGGGCAGGTCAGGAAGCAGCCACACATGCCGGTTGTGGCTGCATTCAGCAGAAAAGGGGTTTCTTCCTAAAGGATTCTGGGGAGCTACCAGAAGGCTGGGAAGTCTCAGTAGCAGGGCTCACTCGGTGACTATGCAGCAGGAGCAAGATCCCAAATGCCTCGCAGAGCTGATGCCGTGAGGATACCACATCTGAGCCCCAGACTCACGCTGTCTCCCCAGCACCCAGAGCTCTGTGCTCAGACCCCACTGTCCCCATGGCCACTGCTGCAGACATCAGGCTGCTTCCTCGTATACTGGCCACAGATCCGAAGTCTGGACGGAGCAGGACCGTGTGCCCATGCCCTGGCTGCAGGGGAGTGCGGTAGCTTCCTGTGGCTCTCTCAATGGAGTACCACAAACTGGGGACCTTAAAGCAACAGAAACGGACTGTCTCACCACTGTGGAGGCCAGAAGCCCCAGACCAGGAGGGCGGGAGGGGGTGCAGGGGGGCGGTCCTTCTGGAGGCTCCAAGGGAGAATATGCTCTGGCTACAGGCGGCTCCAGCAATCCTTGGCTTGTGGCCACATCACCTCAGACCACCTCGTCTTCACACAGCCCCTCCCGGAGTCTCTACGTCTCAGGCCTTGGGAGGACACCTGTCTTTGGATTTAAGGCCCACCCTCATCCAGGATGATCTCGTCTGGAGAGCTTAATCGCTTATATCTGCAGGAACCTTTCTCTAAATAAGGTCACATTCATGAGTTCCGGGGGTCAGGATGTAAGCATATATCCTTTTGGAGTACACAATTCAACCCACTACAGTGAGCGTTTGCAGTGGGAGGCAAGCTCAGCTTCCCAACGAGCCCCATAATGTAAGGAATTCTCCAGATGCTGTGGGAAAGGATTCAGCCAAAGAACACAAAAAGCATTTGCTGCTGATGCACCTTCTATGCTTACAGAAGCGCAGAGTCGCCCAAATGCACCCGGGGCCGGCAGGTGCCTCCCGCTTGGCCTCCTCTGGGCCCGTGCCAGCTTACCCTCCCCGCCCCCCTGCCCCGCGTCTCTCCCAGAAGCAGCACCAGCTCCTGCCTGTCCTTGCAAACAGGAAAGTTGAGAAGGCCATTAACGAATTTTCAAAACTCCTCCAGAACACTGTGTTGACCTCAGCTGCTGAGGCTTCTGGTATCTGGCCATGGAGACAGTGATCAGGCCGAGAAGTGTTTTGATTTTGCCTCCAAGCGGTGTGTGAACTGAGGACTACAGGACCCGGCACCTCGGACCTTCTCCCCTCGCTGGCCTAGCCCCAGATCCTCCAGAACTCGCTCTCCCTGTAGGCCCTCGTGTCAATCACATAAATCATGCAAATGCACACAGGTTACCTGGAGGGCGCGTTACCCCTCCATGCACGGGGCTCAGGCTGGCTGCATACACCGTGATTAGCCGTGTTGTTACTAGCCAGCTCCAGAGACCTGGGCACAGCAGGAACGGATCAAGGCAGCAAGAAGGGAGGCGAGAAAGGTCGAAGAGCCATGGGCCGAGATAGCGACTTGGCAGTGGTCAGGTGGGAGTGTGGGCAATGGATCCTTCCATAGCCCCAGCAACCCCACCTCCTGGCTGCCCCTCCCTAGTGGGAACACAGCCCCCCAAGGACATGCCCGTGACTCCGACAGACTCCCACGCTCATTGAACTCTGCCAGGCTTCAGGTGTGTTCTCCCCTGGCACTTCTGGCTGGCCCCTTCCCGGTCTCCAAGCCCCCTGCTCCCTAGCACAGAGGGGGCAGGGTGCCTCACCTGTGCTGAGCCCCAGGGCTGTGAGCTCCAAAAAGCCACCCAAACACAGCAGTTCCTTAACCCAAAGATGTGAGTATCCAGGGCATGGCAGGGACCTTGGAAGGCCCTTCTGAGGAGAAGGGTCCTGATGCAGACCCGTCACGCAGGTCCCATGGGAACTGGTCATCCCTGCTACTCAGACGGCAGTCCTGACCCTCCTGCGCACTAGGAGGGTTGTTGCCAGGTTTGCTGTACTGGGCCCGGGGCCAGACACGGACTCTCACATGCACGCTCACATGCACGCACGCACATTGTACACACATGCTCACACATATAAACACATGCATGAACATGCAGAGACCTATGCACACAGCTGCTTGCACACAAGCTTATGCACATGCACACACGTAAACACGTGTGAACGCGCAGAGACGTGCACACAGCTGCTTGCCACATGCTTATGCACACATGTAAGCACATGTGTGAACATGCAGAGACATGCACACAGCTGCTTGCACAATGCACACATGCCTGCGTGCATGCTTACACACATGTGAACACACGTGTGAACACACAGGGACATGTGCACTCAGCGGTTGCGTGCACACTTATGCACACGTGCGCACATGCTCATATGTAAGCACATGTGTGAACATGCAGAGACATGCACACACATGCCTGCACACATGCTTACACACAAGTGAACATGCAGGGGCATGTGCACACAGCTGCTTGCACACATGCACACATGTAAACGCTTACACGAAGATGCAGACACGCAGGCACACACACCCTCACACATACACACACCCCCACATGCACACCTCACGTGCATGCATGTGTAAACACAGAGACACACGCACACACGGAGGCACACGTGCTGTGTCTGGTACACGGGAGCTGCTATTTGTTGCTGTCTGTGCTTGAGCTGACGGAGGCCTACGGCTGGGACTGGCCATGTCTAAGCCATATTATGCTGGTTTGACTTGTTTTAAGTGGATTTCCTGCTTTTTTTTTTTTAACTTCTAAACATAATTCCTCTGAATCAAATATAAATATCTGAATTTCTCTTAATTCACTTTAGAAGCTTTTCTTCCTTTTTATCTAAGTCGTTTTCCTTCTTCAAGGGTGTCTGAGGTCTTGCTTAGGTTAGAAATTATTTCACAGACACGGGACACCCAGGTCCTCACCTCACTTCCCAGTTGGAGATGAAACCTCATGGGGCCTCCACCTCCTTCCTTGTTTGTGGGATGTGGCCGCGGTGCCCAGCGCCCTGCTCCGGGGCCCAGGCCTGGACCAGACCCCAAACACCGGGAGAGCTGGCCCGCGGGATGGAGTTTAATGCCGGGTCACACAAACAACCCGGAAGACTCGAAGCGGAAACCCAAGCTGTTCTCTGTGTCACCCGGGACATGTGGCTTTTGCGCATTCTTTGCCGAACCCTCTGGAGGAAGTGTTGGAATACAGCTGTAGCCATACGTGTATTTAACGAACTTCCATGAGCTCTGCAGCTGAAGGAGGGTTTCGCCGGCTCTGGCGGCCTCTCGGGGGAGCCCAGCGAGCCGGTGGGGAAGGGGAGGGGGCAGAGCAGCCTCCGTGGCTTGTGCTATTGCCTCTGCCCACTGAACCCCTTCCCCAAAGCCGGTACCCCTCTTCCAGAATCATTCCCAGAGGTTCTCCTTCAGGGTGACCTGTGACTTGCAGAGTACCCCCCCCCACTCTTCATGACTCCCAAAGTCTTAGAGGGGACCGCCAGGCTCGCAGGGATGCTCCTTGTCGGGGGGGCTCCAGCAGCCCTCCAGGGCTCTAGTTTGGGCTTCCGCTCTGTGCCCACCTGTTTAAAGTTTGCCGGTGGACAGATGAGGCTGCCCTGTAGGGACCTGGCATCCAGCCTCACTGGAGAGCTGTCTCCAGGGTCTGTGCAGGACTTCTCAGGGGTAGGGCCCTGCTCCTAGGCCGGGCCCTCTCCCTCCTGTGGGACCAGGGCAACGCAGGGCTGGGACAGGCCAAAGCTAAGCTGTGGAATCTTCCAGAAATGCCCTGGAAGGGGCGGGAGCAGCGGTGGCGGGTGCATGGTGCTCCGGCTGCCGTCCCCGCCCCCGGGCCCCCCCACCCCCTGTGTTCCGCCTTTAATCCTGTGACATGTTTGTTCTGTCCATTGATTAATGCCCAACTTTGCCATCTTGTTACTCATTATCAATTTCCTTGGCAACGGGGCTCTTCATAAGCGTAATCGCCATGAATTCTGAATCTCTGGGATTCAAATTAGTGATATTGTTCTGTGTCGCCCAAAAGTCTGAATTTGAACATCACCCCCTAGTAAATGGCCTGGAAATCTGATCTACATGAACCAATATTGAATAATCAAAACTTACACACCCACCAAAAGCCATGAGCCAGGAGGCAGCTGCTAACACCGGGCGTGTCCTAAATTTACTGATGACAGTAAAAAGCAAATGAGAAAACACAAGCAGCATGATCCCAATTTTGTCTTTTTAAAACTCGGGATGGACAGATAGCTGTTTCCAACGCACGGGGGTGGGAGAGAAACGCCTGGAAAGATCCACACCACTATACATAATAAATGGGTTGTTCTCTGGGCCAGTAGGACTGTAGATAAATTTTACAACATTCTTCTTGGAGATGCTCTGCATTTCCTATGTATGTTTAAAATGCAGTAAATGTAACCGCGGACTTCGGCAGGCACAGCCACCCTGTTTGGACTTTGTACTGCTTGTTTATTTGCTTTGAGGATCGAAGTCTATACCACATACCAGAACTCTTCTCCAAAACTGCTTACTTTCTGGAAATGTCTGCCCTTCACATGTCAACAAGACTGAGCTCCTTCCCACGGACATTGAATCTGCCATGTGCTGAGGTCAGCGTCCCCGCGGCAGATGCAGCTGGAACTGTGGCTCCCCTGCGTGCCAGCCTCCTGCAGTGTGGCCCAGGGCCTGGACACGGCGCTCTGGGAGGTCCAAACCAGAAGGGGTGGGAGCTGGTGTGCTTTTCTCCAAGAAGGACCCTTGGCTTCCAGCCACTTCCCAATGGGGTCCATGATGCAAGGAAGCGCAAACAACACCCCGTTCCAGAAGGCGGTTGTGGGCTCTTAGTGAGGGAGTGGACCATCCCCGAGGTCGAATTCTCTGTGTTTCCCTACCTGGCTGGTCCCAACCCCTTGCACTGACAGCCCTGGGCTTTGGTCCCGTGTCCTGCAGGGAGGGGGCCTTCGGTACAACATCCCCCGAGTGGCACAGAAGCAAGTCACCAAAACCACGTCCGAATATCAGATCCTCCAGATTCCCACCACTTTGGGCAGAAAGAAGCAATATTTTTGGTAGCCTTGCCCCCACCTGAATCCTCACCCTGGAAACGCTTGGAAAACTGCCCCGGGGAGCTTGGGGTTCGGGCAGGTTGCCTTGCGTTTCTCCTCTGCAGACACTTGTCGTGGGAGGGGGTTGTTTTTCCTGGAGAAATCATTCGCATCGTATTTTTAGGTATTCAGACCACGCTTGAGTAAAAAGGGGACTACAGTAGCATCGTGGGTAGTATCTTTTTGCATGAAAATTGAGGTGTGATTGCAGAGTTGCAGAGCAAATCTCTTCTGTTCCCTAAAAGCTGACTTGAACCTGAAAACCTCTGTGAAGCCACTTGCTCAGTAACAGTATTTCTGGGCTACGTGTGCACCCGCCAGAGTGAAGGTCTTGAAGCTGAGCGCTCGCTGGGAGGCATGAGCTCCAGTTCGTTCTTGGGGGAACAGTGGTGTCCGGACTTCGTAGGCCCTCTTCTGCAGGGGGCTGTGAGAATGTGAGCGAGCCCGGCTCTGCTCACCCTTGGCCGGCCCTGTTTGCGTCCCCCCCACATGAAGTCCACACCTTCTCCCAGTTAACTGCTCCAGTGGGACCTTAAAATGGGAAGATTTTATAGCAATATGAGCTCATCCTTGCCAGGAAGGCTGGGGTGTTGCCCCCCGAGCTTCTGGTCATGTTTTCATGCACTGTGGCCTTATTTCCTCCTCTTCTTTCTGGGATAAGAGATTTCTTTGTCCCCTGTCCCCAGCTGGTGCTTGGAGGCCTGGAGACAGAAAGTGGGGAGTGGGTGCAGGAAGACTCGGGATTGTGGGGAGGGGAGCAGGGGCTCTGCCCTGCAGAAACCGCAGGGAGGGGTGCAGCGGTTCATGCTGGCTCCAGACGGGACAGGCCCACCAGGCCAGAGTCCTTGCCCCTGAGCTGCCGGCACCCTCCGCAGCGGGGACCCCGGCAGGGGCCAGAGCCAGCTTTCTCGCGGGGCCAGTCCCAGTCACCAGCCTCTCAGGGTCCTCTGCGTGTCTCCATGGCAACCCCCTTGTTTTTCTTTGTCCCAGTGGAAGGCCTGAAAGTGGTGGAGATCGAGAAATGCAAGAGTGACATCAAGAAGATGCGGGAAGAGCTGGTGGCCAGAAGCAGCAGGTAAGGTCAGGCCTGGGGAGAGCGGCCCTGCACATGGGCCCAGGGAGGGGGTGGCTCTGGGCTGCTCCCCCCGACGCCCTGCAGCAGAGCCGGACCCAGCTCCGGCCGGGGTGAGCGCAGGGCGGAGGTAGCCCGGCTCCGGCTGGGGTGGGCTTGTCAACTGCACAGTCTTAGATGGAGGTGAGGAGGATGGCTTCATTTAAAGGGGGAATAATCCTCCCGCAGATCAAAGTGTTAGGACTCACTTATCCAGCCTGAGAGAAGCTGGCATTGATTTTTAAAGAAAGGGCCCGATAAGAGGAAAAGGCATTTGGCTCACGGGGAGGGTGTCCTGGTGCCCGGAGGCCATGCTCCTGTGTGGACTTCCCCAGAGCTCAGAATAGCAGGGCACAGGGGAGATGCCACAGGGCCTCTGGCCATTCTCCACACAGAGATCACCTGTCGTGCAGAACGAGGGGTTCTCCCCTGGGGAGCAGAAATTCGTGGAAAAAAACACCCCGGGCTTCCTTACACCCCCTTGAAGGCAGGTGTTTGTACAGGACCCTCTGCCAAAACTGGGGTCCCAGCAAGCATTCGGCGTGACAGCAGAGATGAAGGGGGGGCGGCGCGGGCATGGAGCGTGTAAGTGTGGGGAGCTCGGCAGCATTTAGTGGGGACAAGGAACCGAAGACTAGCCCTGCGCACCCCCCCAGACTGTCCCTGAAAGCTCACCTCCCAGTTTGAAGATCATTCGCGGGTCTTAAAACGTTGAGGGCGACCAGCTTAGTGAGGGAGGCCAGCCGCGTGGAAGGCTCTTTGAAGGCAGGAGGTGAAAGGGAAGCTGACGGTCCCATGCGAAGCCGAGGGGCTGGCTGGCCTCGGCCGGGCTCGAAGCCACATTAGTGTGGTCTTACAGGGACCACGCCACGTTTCCATCATAGCCACTTGGTACCTGATATGGATTTGGAGATGTCTCATCCCATGTGATTTGGAAAAGTCAGGGTGAAGGACTTTGTGAAAATTTGCAGAAAATTGCGAGTGAATAATTCATGCTGGACACATCCCCTTAGTGAGAGGCTCTTTGGGGGCAGGAGCCAGAGGCCGTCGTGGGACCGGCTACGGGCCCGGGAGTCGGCTGGGCCAGGCTCAGCAGGCCGGAGGATGCTCAGGCCCTCTGCGGCCGGGGTCACATAGTCGCCCTCCAGCTGCCACGCGCCCTGGCCAGAGTGGGTGTGTCCTGGGCAGCAATGGGGCCCCTGAGGTCCCTTCCCGCCTCTGTGGGCGTCACCTCACTCACAAACATGCCGACCTGTGAGCCCACAGAGCACCTGCAGGAGGCTTTTTAGAAGGCAGCCACTTGCCCCTCCTCGAATGACTAAGGCCTGCCGCCTGCCCAGAGCCGCCTCGCTGGCCCCGTCCCTGCCCCCGCGTTCCGAGGGGCTCCCTCCAGCTCCTGCACCTTCCTCCCATCCCGGGGAGGAGGGGCGTGTGCCGTCCTGGGGCTCCTGCCACCCGGATTGCCGAGGGAAGAGCTCGCCGGGTCCGGGTTGTCCCGGCGTCCCGTGGTGGCCACAAGAGCACCACGGTCCGGGGGCCTGAAGCAACAGAACCGATGGCCAGAAGTCAGAGACCAAGGTGTCCACAAGGCCACGCTCCGTCTGAAGGCTCCAGGGCGGATCTAGTCCAGCCCCTCTCGGAAGCTTCTGGCGGCTGTTAGCAGCCCTGGGGGCTCCTGGCTGGTCTGTGCGTTACTGCAGTCCCGGCTTCACACGGCCTTCTCCCTGCGTGTGTCTCTGTGCCCAGATGTCCCTTTCTTAAAGGACAACTGTCTTCTTGGATTAGGGCCCACTGCCCCAGTGTGGCCACATGTGAAGTCATGACACCTGGGATGACCCTCCTTCCAAAGGAAGTCACGTGCCCAGTCCTGGACTCCCCCTTCTCACTTTTGGAGGACATAATTCAACCCACACAATAGCACGAGGGGGGATACTCCCAATTTTAGAGCACATGGGAAGAAGCCTCCCCGCCGGGAGCCAAGAGGCAAACCGTGACCCACCGGCACCCGTCTAGCCCAGTGGGCAGAGCCGAGGCGTGGCGGGTGCCTGGGCCCAGCCGAGGGTTGAAGTGCTCTCCCTCGCCGCCCAAAAAGTCCATTTTTAGAGCTCCCGGTGCCGTAATCCAAAGAGAAGCCTTCCCGGTGCCCTAACTGCTTCTAGAGGCGATGTTCTCGGCAGACGGTATTCACAGCATCCCACGGAGGTGAGAGACGGGTAGGTGTGACTCTTTAGTCACAAACAGACGGGGTAAAGCTCTCAAACGTTGCTGACACGTTTAGGAAAAAGAAACCAGGTGGCCTGGGCCCGGGTCTAACCCACAGTCAGGCCACCTGCCCCGGGCCCTTCTGGGCCCCACACAAATGGCCCTTCCCTTTGCTTTATGGAGACGTGAACTCAGATGGCCAACAGGAAGCCACGGGCATCCCCCCGTCTCTGTTGTCTGCAAGGTTCCGTTTTAACCACGCAGGGATGCCGTGCGGCATGTTAGCGTCCCCGGGACCAGGCTCCTCCACACAGGGCTTCGCTTGGGGGGGGGCAGAAACAGGCACCCCACACAGCTCTGGTTCCTGGCTATCAACTCGGCTAGACGGCGGTCGGCCTCCCTGGGGGGACAGATTCTGCCCCGTGCCCGCACAGATGGCTAACGAGCCTGAAGGGCGGCCCCACGATCGCCCCCCCACGAGCACCACCCAGCTGGGCCTCCGTGCCAGGGGCCCTCCGGCTCTGGGACGCCCCCAGACCAGGCCGTGCGCCTCCGAGACACACGCCTTGGGTTTCCCCGGGTCCAGTTTCCTGCCTAGCTGTGCAGAGTGGAGCTTGCTGCTTCACCCCAGGTCGGGGAGGGCTCCCCAGGGCTCCGGGGGCTCCAGTCTCCACTTCCATCCCAAACAAATGACCTTGTCCACCAGACGAGCCACGGGGTGGGGCGCTGGGAGCCCAGGAAATGAAAGCAAAAATGAGCCCCAAATAGAATGAAAAGAAAAGGCACCATGCCAGGGGCTCTGTCGCTGGAGGAGTTTGGTTCCCGTGGCAACGGGGCACAGAGGGAGCAGGCGGGCCGCCTGGCCGAGGTGGGGGAGGGTGGCGGGAGGCGCCAGGCATGCAGCAGATGCTCCTGACACCGGGATTTTCAAGGAAGCAACTGGATTCCAGCAGGCGAACCATCTTGCTTTGTGCAAGCTTCCCCTCCCTGCCCCCCCAGGAAATACGGCCTTCGTACGCGGCACGTGTGGGGATGTCTGCCCGGGAGAGGCTAAGCGCAGGGAAGACAGGGTGATGCTGTGGTCTCCGTTCTCAAGGACCCAGACCAAGCTCGTCACTGCTCAGAAACGTGTGGGGGGCGACTTCTCATTTATAGGGCAGCAATGGGAGACACCTACCTGGTTGGTGCCTTTTAGAGGTTCACGGGTTACTCTGGCTGAATCTGTGTTAAAATCCCCTCCCCGCACGACGTCTGATGAGTTTTGTAAGCATCGCGTTGAGGGAAAGAATAGCAGGACGCCCAGAAAATTGTACTGAAGGCTCCTTTATCAGAAAGGACACAGAGGTATTACTCTGAGTTTGCAAGTAGCAGAGCCCCCAGGTAAAACCTCCAGACTGTACGGATGAGGGGGCAAGCCCCACCTGAAATCTGGATGCCGAGCTGCCCCGATGTGTTTCTGTGTACAGAGACCTCCTTTTGAAAAGAAATACTGTGTTGTAATCTTTTTTTCACTTACTACACTGTGAGCAATAAATGGATCAAATTTGAACCAACATCCAGTTCATACGTTTTCCCAGGAAGCCACAATGCACGCCCATCTCAGCCCACCAAATGTGTTCTCTTCTCCTCGAACCTTGGTAGATTTTTTTTTTTTTTTGCATTACCTTTCAGCCCATACTGTATACAACATTTCTTTTTCCTCTTTCCCCAAAAACCTTTTTACTTCACATAATACGTGTCAATATCTTAACACATAACAGTCCGTCTTGTTGACGTACGGTAATGGTTTAAATTATTTCCCTCTCAGCAACATTGAGGTGGCTTCTGGTTTATTGTGTTTTTACAACAGATGACGTTGCAGTGAATACCTTCATGCACAGAGTGGTTTGCTAGCATCTAGTTCTTTTCTTAAAATACATTCCCCAGCATAGACGTACAGGCTTAAAGGATAGGAATGTCTCATGGCTCTTACTATGTGGGGTATTGAAGTGCTCTCCCAGGAGACAGGACGTGATCTACAAAGTGTGTAACGTCTGAGGATAAGGGAGTATGTTCCCTTCCAGGAAGGGAGGGTTCCCAGGTGGGGAGAGGGACACATCCAGCCCCGGGTACCACCGGGCTCAGCACACTCCCCCCTGATGCTGGACGGTAGCTTCCCTCCAGAGTACGCCTGGCTGGATTTGTTCTGTCCTTATGGGGGGGAGGGGGCACCTCGATACTTAGAAGTGAAGGAAAACAGAGTCAGGAGCCCGATAGCAAATTAATCTCTAAAGGTAGGTACCGGGGGAAGCTGGAAACATCCTAAAAGTCCATGGTGGGGATTGGATTGGCAGCACGGCACCCCCCCAGAGGCACCCCAGAAGGACGTGCCCTTGACACTGAGCTCTGGGGAGCAACAAGCAGAGAGTTTGCCTTGAGCAAGGTGAAAAAAACAAGTAGCAAAAGAGTAAGTTTGAGACAGTTCCATTTTTGTTAAAAATCCAAGGCACTGTCCCTGTGTGTCCGTGCCTAGGAAAATTCTGGAAGGATACCCCAAACTTAACAGAAGGTATTTCCAGGGTGTGAGATTGAAAGGAAAGAAGTAGGTAACGTGGGGGCTTGCTTTAAAAAAACAAACAAACAAACAAACTTTGCCTACTTCCTCCTTGTTTGAATTTTTTAAAATAAAAATGTTTTTACTTGCATCATCAAAAGATTTTTTAGGAATTTGCCTAAAATGAAGGTAACATGTTTTTGGAGAGCTACGACATCCCAGGTCCAGGCGGGGTCCTGGTGGGTTAGCACTGAGAGGTCACTGGCTTGCTGACTAACAAGACCAAGGGGTGTGTGGGGTCTGGGTTTGGCTGGGGCTTCTTTGGTGTCACTCTGAGGAGGGGCCCCGGCAGACCCCTCGTCCGAAGCGGCCATCCCAGAACTAATCCTGACTGTCCTCCTGCAGGACCAGCTGTCCCTGTAAGTACAGTTTTGTGGATAACAGCAAGAAACTGACAACTCGGCGTGATGTCCCCACGTATCCCAAGGTGAGAGGACACTCGGGCCCTGGAGAAATGGCAGGTGTGCGCCCCCGGCCGGGCCCCCCACCCTCAGCCACCCCGACTTCCTGGCCAGGCCCCCCTCTGTCTGCATGTTTGCAAATGCAGCTCCCACCCTGGCCCTGGGCCGTGCGACACCCGCTTGCCGTTCTCAGGCCCAGTACTTTTTCTCTTCGCCGGGTGCTAGCCGCGGGGGCCCCCAGGCCAGCAGGTCACGGCCCCTCCCCGCTGTCCACCCCTCGCCCACTCGGTGAGGGTGTTCACACTCATACGTTACTGTAAGGAGCTTCCATTTCTAAAGTCACCTAAAATCTGCCTCACTGGATCTCCTGTCCTGAACAGTGTGTAGCTATCGTGAGAAGTTTTGCTTTTCCGCCTCGAGAAAACGGGTTTCTCCATTGCAAGAGTCCAAGCCCTAGTGGAGGCCCCAGTGACCGGGGAGTTGGGCGGGTGGGCTTCAAACCGCCACAGAGAAGGGTCTTGTAATGTCGGTCACTGTCTCGGCCATGCTTTCAGCTGAGTCAGCGAGACCCTGGCCTGGCCGACTGTCCACACACACTTCCGCTAAGAGTCAGGCTTCCGTGTGCTGGCGCAGGGACAGGCTTCCCGGGCCCAGCGTGGGGCAGACCCCCCCCCGCCACTGCCCACGGTCCTCGTGGGGACAAAGAACCTCCCAGAGCCGCCCTGTGAGGGGTTCCCCCCACCTGCTTCCAAATATGTGCGGCATATTGTCTGAGGTCTTCAGATGGACACTAGGGCCTCTTCCCACAAGAAGACATGGCCCGCATCTCCCGATCCTGCCCCAGGGGCCCACAAGGCCCAGCCAACGGCCAACACGAAAGGTGTCCATCCTCCATAGCAATCCTTATAAGAAACCAAACAGGTGCCCCCGGCTGACTCGGTCAGTTAGGCATCTGACTCTTGGTTTTGGCTCAGGTCATGGTCTCAGGGTCCTGGGATCGAGCCCCACGTCGGGGCCTGCACTCAGCGGGGAGCCTGCTTGAGATTCACTCTCCCTCTGCTCCTCCCCCTGCTCTCTCTCTCTAAATAATAATAATAATAATAACAATAATAATAAATAAATAAATAAACCAAGCAAACCAAAAGACCTCGGGGAAGATTACATCTAATCCCTAACACCATGACGGTCTTATATCTAAGATCACAGCCTATTTCTCACGACAGTTTGACCCAAACTCTGGCACTCCCTGATCCACACCCCCCAGCAAAGCAGCACCGCGTTAGCCTGCAGCCAAAGAAAGAAACTCCGAATAGCTTCTTAGCCAGTATTGGATCTGTGCCAAGTTAATTCTTTATCCTTGACTTCACTCTATTGTTTTTTTAAATCGGGTTTACGAGGAGGTAATTTACCCGCAGTCAAGCTTGCCTCCTGCAGGTGCGGCGCGCTGTGACTTTGGAGAGATTTAGGCAACCTCTGCACAGTCGAATGTGGAACATCTCTCCCCCCACAGCCCTCCTGGTGCCCCCGCCCTGCCTCTGGCAGCCACAGATGGGATTTCTGTCCCTGGAGGCTGGGCCTCCACAGAATCCTTGTAGAGTGTGGCCTTGGAGTCCGTGCGCAGGTGTCCTTGACCAGGGAACAGGAAACGTCCCCCACCCATGAGAGCTCACCAGCCTTTGTCTCAGCCCAGAGCCTAACCGACCTCCTGTCCTTTCCAGTACCTGCTCTCCCCAGAGACCATCGAAGCTCTCCGGAAGCCCACCTTCGACGTCTGGCTCTGGGAGCCCAACGAGGTGAGTGAGGGGCCCGGTGCCAGCGTCACGGGGACCTGCCAGGGTCCCCCATGGCTTCGCCTGCTCTCTGACCTTGATTCTCCAGGTTTTCCCTCAGTCTGACTCTGGGTGGGCTCAGGGGGGCCCGGACGCAGGACTCAGAAAGGCGGGTGTCAGAGCAGAGGCACGGGTGGTCAAGTGCAGGAAAGCTGGCCCCCCAAACCCCGCACACCCTCCTGGGCCAGCCGCCGCGCCCCCTGAGGGGAAACCCGGGAGGCGCCTCCTCAGGAGAGGGGCGGAGGGAAGACAGCTGTGTCTCAGCCAGAGGATGCAGGGCTGGGGGTGCAGGACTCGGCAGCAAGACCATTTTTCCAATTTCCCCTTTTGCTGAGAAAACACTAACATGGAGATTTTTGTTTATTCGGCCGAATCTAATAATATCAGTTGTACCCCTCCGTGTCTGAACCCCGAGAAAACAAAAGTCCCTCATCATGGACATGAGGCCCACCAAATCTACGACTTCTCCAGCTATCTGGTAACACGGACACGCAGAAAGGCCGCCCCCCTGCAAGCTCACCGCAGGGCGCAGGAAAGAAGAGCTCTGCACCCTGAGCGGGCACCGTCTCGCTCACCAGGGCCAGGGTCTCGGAAGTGCCCGGCTCTCGTGCTTTTGTTCCGGCACAAGACTGCTGCCCTGCCCACCCCACCTCCGCCCCACTGTTTGCTGGCCCGTGCCCCAGGGATCGTCCCATCGCAAACCCTGGACCAGACGACACGTGGACCCCAAATCATCCAGCCACCCAGGAGTGCGCAGGACTGGAGCGTGGGTTTAGGCGGGCAAGAAGCCACAGCGGAAGCCACCGTGCCCGGCGGGGATAGGAGGTGGCATGGCCAGGAGAAACAGGGGTCAGGTCCTTGAAGACAAGTGTCAGGACCAGGGTCTGAACTTAGGACCTGGGCTGGGCAAGGCTTGTGCACAGGTGAGTGGGCACACCGGGATGGCTCGGCGCGCACAGATTCCTGCTTCTGGCAGGTGGGCAGACACCACTGCTGGAAATCGCTCCGGCTTCCGCACACCGGCAGTGAGAGCAGAGCCGGGTCCCCGATGGCAAAGCGCCTGCCTGGAAATGCGCACTCACTACCCGCTCTGCCTCCATCTCCCACGGAATCCCACTGGGGCCGGAGAGGCTGAAGGATTCACGCACCCAGGAGGGGAAGGCCGCCTGCCCACGGCGTCAGGGCCGGGGTGAAGCCTGCAGGTGGGCCCCGCCTCCGGTGGGCTTCCCCCAGCGCATCTCAGTGCCCGGGGCAGACTGCTCAGCGGTTCCGGGGTTTCCAGAGACGTTCTGCCAGCACGCGGCCAGGAACCAGAGATGCCCAAGGATAGGAGCCCTAGCCTCTGGCCAATCTGGGGGTGCCATGGATTTGGAACTGTGGGCGGTGAAGGCCCCCCAAAACTGCATCTGGCCGCCCATGAAGCAGCTCACACCCCAGAATGTTGGGGCCCCCATTGGGGGATCATACCTCTTCCTTCGCGTGGGGGTATCTCTGTGCTCAGCACCCTCAGCCCCAGCAGGGTCCTCCGGCTCAGAGAGCAGACAGAGGCAATGGCTTCACGTGTTCTTGTTCCCCACCAGCTGACGTGCCAGAGCTCTTCCGGCACGGCCACCTCCCCGGAGCGCGGGCCTTGCAGGCCGTGGGGCCCCGGCTCTCTGGCAAGCACCTGCAGCCTCCTCCACGTGGCCACCCGGCCCGGACCGCCCAGCGGCTGCCAGCGTGGCAGCGGATGCACGAAGCGTCCCTCCCACTCCAGAGCTGTCGCACACGTCACAGAAGTGGGGCCAGATGGTCTCGTCTGCCCATCACCTCCAACTGTGGACTCCCGATCTCACCACCACCATCACGGCTCCTGGGGATTGCTGGAGCTGTGCACGCGTGCAGAGGGGAGCAAGGGGGCTGCAGGCCTCTGGCCCCGAGCGCCGGCATCCAGGGCGGTGGGCGCCAGCACCCCGAGCCGCACGCCGGGGCCCTGAACTCGTCCCCAGAGCCTGGCGCCCTGCACGTAATGCAATCTGCGCCAATCCCGTCCCCTCGAGGAGGACAGTCCATCCATGACACCGCAGGCTCCCACACACGCCCACTGAATTCTTGGCGATGCCACGGGTCTCGGCTCCATGGCATTCCTTCCACAGCCATCTTGTGGACGCTCTAGGCACAGGGCTGGACATGCAGAGCCCATGCTCCCCGTGTTCCAAGCTCTCCCAGTGCCGTGTAACGAGGAAGATGGGTCTCCGGTGGCGTGCCCTGTAGCAGTCAGCTCGGGCAGCTGTAACATGAGCTACAGGCTGAGAAGGCATCCACTCACACCTGGAGGTCCGAGATCAGGCGTCGGCAGGGCGGGTGTCTCCCAGGCCCCTCTCCCTGGCGTGTAGACACTGCCTTCCAGGTCCTCACGTGGTCGTCCCTGTGTGCATGTCTGTTCTGGTCTCCTCTCCTCATGGGGATACCAGTGCTAGTGGACCAGGGCCACCCCGGTGACCTCATTTAACCTTAATGAGTGTTTAAAGGCCCTCTGTCCACACAGTCGTGTCGGGGGTTAGAGCTTCAACACACTGATTTGGGGGCCACAGTTCAGTCCATAAGACACCTTTTTGGGAAGAGAAGGTCACACGGTGACCAGAGGCAGCCCGGGAGCGTGACCGCTCGGGCCCCAGACAGTTGGCGGATGGGATGAGGCAGGGCTCAGGTGTGTGGCCCCGGAGCTGGGGAGCGTGGGCGGGTATCACGCCCCATGCCACCAGGTGATGCCTAACGGTCCCCGCCTCGTGGATCTCCCGTCTTCCTGGGCGCTGCATGCAAGACCTGCTTCCCAGAAAGCAGAGCCTGCGTTCTCAGACTCTCACTTTTTAATAAACACTCAGTCTTTTTTCCCTGGCTTAATTAGCTCCAGAGCTCTGAGCTGTATTTAAATAGATCACAACAATGACAATCAATCATCTTCGGGACTGAAAACAAAAGCTATTTTAACCTGAGCGAGATTCCTGTAGAAGACAGCTCAGTGACGGGAATGCGGCTTACCTTCCAGACCCCACAACGAGCCCCTTACAGTGTGTGTCTGGTCCCCGCGGGCCGCACAAGGGCGCACGAAGTGTGCTGGGGACGCAGGCCACAGAGTCTCAGCGAGCACAGGGCGTCTGTGTCTGTGAAGGCACCAGCTCTCGGGCGCGCGTCCCATGGAACCGTGTCCCCAGAACCTCAGCCTGGCTTCTCGTGTGTCCAAGTTCAGAGTCACTTCGGACGTGGTCGTTCGGGGGTGCCCCCTCTCACCCAGTCGGTCCCTTCTTGCATGGAACTCCCTTGACTTCTCAGCCCGGCTGCTCTTTCAAGCCCCCACACCCCTGCCAGGGGTCCCGAGACCCCCCCCCCCAGTCAACATGGCTTTGCTCTCAGGGCCCCCGGGAGCAGAGGGCTCACCCTGTAGGGACCGGCGGGCCCTGCAGGCATCTCCCGGGATGCGGGAGAGGCAGCTCAGTCGGGCGGCCAGGCTGGCCGGCCCCGCCACAGACCACCCTTCTGTTCCTGTGTCCGCAGATGCTGAGCTGCTTAGAGCACATGTACCATGACCTGGGCCTGGTCAGAGATTTCTCCATCAACCCCATCACACTCAGGAGATGGCTGGTAAGTGCAGGTTCCCCCCTGTCCCCCTCGAACACAGTGTCATCCCGTTACTAGGGAACAGACCACCCGGGCCCCTTGCTGGTGGCGTCCTACAGACGGAGGTGACGTTCCCATGAGTGCTCTGTGAGGACGTGCAGCCTGTCTCTGTCCGTCTCCCACCAAAACACTCAGTACCCCTAAGTTCCTGCTCTGGTGCTCAAGAAAACAGGAAGAACCAAGGAGGGGGCAGTGAAGTGAGTGTGCAGGTGCGTGCACGTTTATGGGGGGGTGTCGGCCTGAGTGATGTGTGCGTGTGTGCATGAATGTTAATGTGTGTAGGTGGGAGTGTGTGAATGCGTGCGGTAGGTGTGTGTGCGCAAGTGTGGAGGGAGTACGTGTATGAGTATGTGCGTGTGTGTTCAGCAATTACTTTAAATAAAATGTTGCTCAGAACTAAGTGTGAAAAGCATAGATGTTAAGTATTAAAATATGAAAAGGTGTGATGAGGACCGGGACCCAGAGCCACTCCGAGAGCCCCCCAGCCCTCCCCGCAGCTTCACGTCCCTGCATGGCTCCTCAGAGCCCTTCCGGGGACACCTCAGTCCATGAGCCCAGGTGAAAGCCTACTGCCCACCTGCCCTCTGGCCACGGAGTGGCCAGTGGGACGTCCTCAGGTCCCCTTGGGCTGCCTTGCCCGTACCTCCAGCAAGCCCAGGAAGGCAGCTGGCCTCTGGGTCAGCCGAGGGTGATACGGAGTGCATCTGAAACGCTAGCAGTCAGCTGGCAAAATGGGAAGGAGCTGCGCAGGGCAGCTTGGCGGGGAGGGCGGGCAGCGCACGTGGGCAGCTGGGACCCTCCGTCTCTCGCAGCTCTGCGTGCACGACAACTACAGGAACAACCCTTTCCACAACTTCCGGCATTGCTTCTGCGTGACCCAGATGATGTACAGCATGGTCTGGCTCTGCAGGCTCCAGGTGGGTCTCTGGGGGGCTCCTGCCGGGGGGCGCAGGAGCCACCACCCGGGGTCCAGGCTCCACCCGGGGACGCAGCCCCCACCCGGGGTCCAGGCTCCCCCGCCCTCCTAGGGAAGCCACCCCAGCCCACCGTTGTCACCTGCCCCCCTGGCCCCACCCCCAGGCCAGCTGCTGAGGGGCTTCATTCTACCCATGTCACCCCTCTCCCACCCCATTCCAGCCCCCTCCTCACCCCATCCCACCCTCTCTCTGATCCAGGAGAAATTTTCCCAAATGGATATCTTGATTCTAATGACGGCAGCCATCTGCCATGATTTGGATCATCCAGGGTACAACAACACGTACGTACATGACTTTTCTCTCTTTTTCCTTTTAAAGGGCTCTCTGGTTATCAGAGTCACCTTTTCAGTTTAACACGCAGACTAGTTCCAAGTTGGGGCTGCCGGCGAAGGCCTCACCAGCCCCCAGATCACCTCCGTAGGACACAGCTCCCACTCTAGGACTTGGCCCAGGGCCTCGGGCCACCCGGGGCAGAAGCTTCTGGCTTGCCGAGCCCCGAGGGGCTGCCACACTCCTCTGCAGTCCTGGTGATGCCAGGCCTCCCCTCCGCCTAAAGCAGGGCGTGATGCCCACACGTGATGCCCCGTTCTCTGGATCCCCCTCCCCCACCTGTTTCCAACAGGACCAAGGCAGAGAGTGAGTGCAGATGGGCAGCAGGTGGGAGGGGTCCACAGCGGGCCGTGGGGGCCAGGACGACAAGCCAGGCTTCACGGGAACAGTGATCCAGTCCCACTTCTGGGGGCACGAGGGCACAGAGTCCACCCCGCATAACTGCCGGGTCCCGGCCGTGTGGCACCGGTTTGCATCCCTGGTGATGCACCTGTCCTAGCAGGTGTATTCGTGTGGTCTGACGTGGCCGAGAACTCACCATCACTTTTGATGGCAGGCCTCCATAGTGGGGACACCCGTGCTCCTCCAAGGAGGTGGGCACCGTGCGCATCCACCCCCTGCTTTCACATTCAAGATCATGTGCGAGGTACAGTCCAGCCAAGGGGTCATAGCCACAGCTGTAACATGAAAACACACCCGGTACCCCCCCCCCACAAACACCTGCCCTCTGCGCATACCGATGACATGTCGAGGGGCCAAAACGGAAGGCCTGATCGCCTTTGGGCACTGTCACTGGGAGCAGAGGAGGGGTCTTGGTGGCGTCCACCTGGTAAGGTTATAGGAAGGACCTTGAGGGCATCGAGTGAAAGGGGCAGCAGAGAGTCAGGAGAGCCCGGAGGAGTGTGTCCCTGGTACTGCAAAAGGGGCCACAGCTCAACTCCCGGCCTCTGCTGGTGCCGCTGCTTCCCCGCGGGTGCCTGAGGCTCCGTGTGCTCTCTCCTTCGATGCCAGGTACCAGATCAATGCCCGCACGGAGCTGGCCGTCCGATACAACGACATCTCGCCCCTGGAGAACCACCACTGCGCCGTGGCCTTTCAAATTCTCGCCCAGCCCGAGTGCAACATCTTTGCCAATGTGCAGCCGGACGAGTTCAAGCAGATCAGACAGGTGTGCAGGGGCAAGGGCCCTCTGACTGCAGAGTGGGGGTACGGTGAGCACAACCCTGGGGCGGAACCCCCTTGCTCCAGTGGCTGAGGCCCCCACGTGCTCCCGGCCCCCCCCCCCCCCCCCAAGGCCAGTGCACCCCCGGGAGAGGCGAGCCCTCCGCACGGATACACGAGACCCCGCCAACCTGGATTTCACATCCCGAGTTTGACCGAATCCTTTGAGATTCGTCCTTTCTCCAGCCCGCAGCCGGGGAGGGTGAGGGTTCCGGAGGTTGGGTCACTCATCAGAGGTCCACAGTGAGTTCGTGCAGGCCCTGGACAGACCCCCCTGCTGCATCCAACCTGGCAGAAACCTGACTGCTTCCCGAACCCCCACCTCAACTTAGCCCCACCACCCACTTCAGATAAGGGATGCTGGGGAGGTGACAGCACCCTCCTGTCCTGAGACCCACACCTTCCCACTCACTGCAAGTAACGCCCCCTTCCACGCAGGGGGTACCCGCTGAGCACAGCTCCGTGCACCCCCTCTGATGTTTCCAGGGGAGGGAAGAGACCGGAAGGACCTCTTGGAGGAGTATGTGGGTTGAATGGAGCCCCCTTTGCCAAAGAAATTGTATGTTCCCTTCCTGAGCCCCGGAACCTGTGAATGTGACCCGACTCGGGAAAAGAGTCTTTGCTGGTAGTAAAGTTAGAGCTCTGGAGGAAATTAGCTTGGATTACCCAGGTGGGCCCTAAATCCAATGACAAGTGTCCTCAGAAGAGACAGAAGGGGAGACATACATGGAAGAAAAAGCCGCATAAAGCAGAGGCAGAGGCTGGAGTGACGTGGACCCAAGTCAGGGAGTGCCTGGGGCCACCAGGAGCAGGGAACGTCGGGAAGGACGTTTCCCCAGAGCCTTGGGACTTCTGGCCTCCGGACTGTGAGAGGGGGCCTTTCTGCTGGTCCGTCACCCAGCGAGTGGCGCCTGTACGGCGGCCTCGGGACACACGAGCCGCGGGCCATGTTCGTGTGGAGGGGCCACGCTCTGCCGTCCCACGGATGACAACCTCACCCGCTCGATGCCTCGGGGCCTGGCTTCAAGGTGCACCTGATAAAGACACGGGAATCCCGGGATCCGGGCTCTCCCTCCCGGAGGTCTGAAAAGCTTCACTCTGTCAGAGAGCAGCCCCGTAAACTTGTCACCCATCAGCCATGCTTCCAGGAAGCTCAGAGCTCTGGGTGGTGCCGAAGGTCAGTCACTAGCAAGTCACCGATTCCCGGCTGTGTCCCCTTTATCTGTGGGCTTTCCCGCTCTCTCCCCTGCTCTGGAGCTCCCAGGATGAGCCGAGGCGCATCTTTCTCAAGTGGGAAAGGGGCAGATCGTGGAGAGCCCCCAACGGCGGCCCGGTGAGGAGCTCCTGCAGGGACCACAGCAGCCGGACGGTCCCCCTCGTGCGTGACCCGCCCCTTGGGAGCGGTCAGTGCAGGACCCGCCCACCAGGGGGACACAGGAGGCTTGTCCTGCCTCAAACACATGACTAACGTGAAAATGAGACTTTCTGGGCATAAAATCAGTTGTCCCAATTTTTTTTTAAGATTTTATTTCTTTATTTATTTAAAGAGAGAAACTGTGAGCCGGGGGAGGAACAGAGGGAGAGGGAGAGGCAGACTCCGCACCGAGTGTGGGGCCCGACCTGGGGCTTGATCCCAGGACCCCGAGATCACGACCTGCGCCGAAGGCAGATGCTTCACCGACTGAGCCACCCAGGTGCCCTAGTTGTCCCAATTTTTAATAATATTTTGTCATTGTGTTTAGGGATGAATCCTCACAGGAGTGGCCCCTTCACTAGTAACACAATGAAATCTTTAAAAGAAACCGCAGAATTCAAAACGCCAGGGATGTTCCCCTCCCCCAGAATACATCTGAGATGATCCGTCTCCACTGATTTCAGTTCCATCCCGGATGCTGTAGTTCTGTGTTCTGGGGAAAGCACACTCTGTGCAGTGCAGAGCTGTGTCCTTATACGTGTTTTCGGGGTGCACGGACGGTCACGGCTTCGAATCATGTTACTTCTATTAAACCAGTATTTGGTTAACAAGATAATAAAATATTTATATTTTAAAAATCACTACATTCTTGGGGCGTCCAGGTGGCTCAGTCGGCCGAGCGTCCGACTCTTGATCTCAGCTCAGGTCTTGATCTCGGGGTCGTGAGTTCAAGCCCCGCGTTGGGCTCCACACTGACCGTGGAGCCTACTTAAAAAAAAAAAATTTTTTTTTTTAAATCATTGCATCCTCATTTACAAATGTGTTAGCAGAACAGTGCTATCAAATATAACCTGACTTTGATCGCTCCCAAGCACCAAAGGCACAGATTGGATAACAGGGAAAAAGTCTCCTGGAAAATCGGGTAGTGACCTCCAGCGACGTGATATGAAAGGCACAGCCATATACCTGGATTCCTGGATGGAGGGGAAGCGTTTCTCCTTGGCTGAGACAAGCCGTCACAGGGAAGCATGGTGCTGAGCCTGCCACCTGCAAGCGAATGAGCCTGGCAGGCCTGAGGGGGCTGCCTCCTCCTGGACTCAGCATTTGGGGCTCGCCCGCAACACACACGTGGGTTTGAATCCCCAGCCTCCACCCGCCAACCGTGGCCTGGGAGGCTCCCCAGCCTCCTCAAGGCTCTGCTTCTTCATCTTGAAAATGAGGACACTGATTCTCAGAGACACACATCAAGTTGGCACGAGGACTAAGTGGGACACTGTGCGCGGAGGGTTCGGCATGCAGTCAGGGCTCACGGAGTGGTGCTGGGACGGTACCCGGGGTTAACGTTTTGCTTTCGCTTTTCAGGGGATGATCACATTAATTTTAGCCACTGACATGGCAAGACATGCAGAAATTATGGATTCTTTCAAAGAAACAATGGAGAATTTTGACTACAGCAATGAGGAGCACGTGACCCTTGTAAGTAGCTTGTTTTAGCTCGTTCAGGGGCTGGTGCGTGTGTCCCACCCTCCAGCCCAGACTGGAAACCGAGAAACCCCAACCCTTGCCTGGCCTCGGAGCGAGGCATGATTAAAGTGGGTACACAATCACAGCGCTTACCTGAAAAGCCCCCAGCGAGCCCATGTCCCAGGTAGAGGTGGCTTTTCTGATTCCTGCATCTCGTTCTGACTTGAAGGTGGTGAGTGGGTGAAGGCAATCCATCTTGCTCTGGTTTCCTGAGAACAAAGCTGGTCTTCCCATGAAGGCACGGCCCCAGAAAACACCCTGCATACCCGTTTCTGGGCGGGCAAGTCAGGGATCCGCAGGGCCCCTTCCCAGCTCACCCCTCCATGAGCAGGGGCCGAGCATCCAGAGAAGGGGAGCAGATCTCTCCAGTGAGGAGAGCCCACCTGGGTCGGCACCATGCCTGCCCTTTTAAGAGAAAAACATGGAAACGTCCTTCCCAGTCTTCAGGGAAGGGGTGATGCTGAGCCTGGTCTGGGTGTGAGGCCTGCTTTCTGGCATTCTCTCTCCTTTAAAATTGATGGCCCCTTTCCATCCCTAGAAGCCGGTGAACAAGGACAGCCCCCTGAGATCTGGCTGACTTCTGTCCATCCTGTTCTCAAGCCTGAATAACAGCTAACAAACAAAGTGTGTTAGGGAAGGGCCTCACATTCTCCATAAGTAAACAACAGGAGGAAGGGCCTCCCAAGGCATCCCTTCATGGGGCTGAACATGGGGAGATGCGGTCATGTTGGAGGGACAGCCTTGCTCCTGAAACACCAGCGGGGTGTGGGGGATGCCGCCTGCCCTCCACAGCAGGGCGAGGAGGAAGAACGAATAGGCTGAGCCCCTTTGGAGCCTCCAGGTTCCCTCCAACACGTAAGGAAAGGCCCTCAGGGGCAGGAGGCCAGAAGTCTTGCTGCCAGGGCCCGAGCGGTCAGGATGATGACCATCACACCTTCACTCCCTCACTCCAACTATTCAGGCAAGGGAGTGCCCTGCGCCCCGACACAGAGTGAGGGTCCGTGGCCTGCGGCACAGACTAGGGGATCGTGCCTTGGCCGAGGAGCCCCAAAAGCACCCAATTCCTGATGGACATGGGGACTGGAGGATGTGGAGGGAAAGGCCCAAGAGTGGAAAGGTTCTGGGTCAAAATGGATTCTAGGACCGCAGCCGAGGCCCCCAACAGGAGGCCTGGGGGCAGTGCCCCGTGTGGCCGCGGCCTGAGATCCTGGCACAGCTCCCTCCAGTACGCAGTGCCCAGGCTGTGCCCCGGGCCCGGTGTGGGGCAGCTGCCCTCAGAGGCCTGCCGAGCAAGGCCCTGTAATGGCCTGTGTTCTGGAGCCAACTCCCGAGCAGACAAGGAAGGCCTGGATCGACTCCTGGGCACTGATAAGGAAGGGTGGTGACCAGGGACAGGGAAAAGGGCAGCCAGGTCACCCTGAGGTTCAGCTGGGGCTGTGCCAGACGCTGAGCTGAGTGGAGAGGTGCTTTGCCGAGTTAGGCTCCCCACCCGCCTCCTGCAAGACTGGGTGCAAACAGCCCGGGCCCACTCAGAGGGCCCACAGCCCACGCTGGTGTGCCCGGGGGGACTTTGGTCACCTTCAGACCCTGAGCGGTGGCCCACGCTTTGTCCCGGGATGTCAGTGACACCTGGGGACAGTCGTGTGTGGCAGCAGGGGGCCTTGCTGGGCGACACCATCTGGTGCTGGGGGGGAGGGGGCCAGGAAGACTGGAAGGAGGGGCCAGAGCAGGCCTGGAAGGCAGTGAGCAGCAGGGGGAGGCAAGGTTTCTGCAGGCTGGTGGCTTGAGCAGAAGGTACAGGGGCCCCGGGCAGAGAGCGCCAGCTCACAGGGGAGACACATGCCTGGGAGCACTGGGCAGAAGCCCACACCACCTTCGCTGCGATATGATTTTTCTGACTCCAGGCAGGAGGGGCAGGTGCAATCAGAGCTCAGCCCAGTGGATGCCCTTGGGGTCACAGGCAGCCCTACATGTGCCACTCGTGCTCGGGGGCATGCGGTGCCCAGGGGAACATCCCCACCCCGAGATTCTGTGAGGGCCCTTCCTCTGATACACTCACTGCTACCAGGGGTCCCACCACCACCCCTTTAACCTCTGCCTGCTAACGGTGACTTCTTTCTATGTTTTTGTGTGTCCTCAACAAGCAAGAAGATCCTTTTAAACTTTACGATTGAAGTTTGTATTACAAAACGTGTCTGTGTTAACAGACCTTTCTACTCCTCAAGCCCCCCAAACAGATTCTGACCCCGTGGGGGTTGGTGAGGCCCCCGTTCTCCCGGGGGTGGCTGGGGTTCTAGACGCAGACTGCCAGCACACCTGCCCAGAGCGAGCCCGCGGCGCCGTGGACACAAGCAGCACAGCTCAGCCCCCGTTGGCCAGCAGCGCCGCCCTCCGTCCCCCCGGGGCGGCAAGGCCAGCCCCAGACAGCAGGAGTGGGACGTGCTCTGCGCTCCATGCCTGATCCCAGATCTCTCTTCCAGCTGAAGATGATTTTGATAAAATGCTGTGACATCTCTAACGAGGTCCGTCCAATGGAAGTTGCGGAACCTTGGGTGGACTGCCTATTAGAAGAGTATTTCATGCAGGTAAGAGTGTCCCACAGCCACCAGCCGCCCCCGCCGCTCAGCTTAACCCCTTCCCGGGCTCTGTGTTGGAAAGGCGACGGGCGTGCCCAGGGGCACTAGTGGAGTGAGTCACAGACGATTTCTCCAGCCTCCAGGAAGCCCTTACAGCAGGTGCACATCCAAGACGAACGGGTATGACCTGACACAGGGACGACAGGGGCAGCCTGGGAAAGCGAGCAATGAAACCCGCCCCCGTGACCAGTGTGCCGCTGGTAGGGCGGACGAGTCAGGCAAACGGCCTCAAAGAGAAGCAGCAGAGGCAGGAGGGGCCCCCAGGGATGGGTGACACCACGCAGGTCAGCCGACGCTCAGACAACCCAGCGTGGCGAGGATGCTGGCAGGCCGGCGAGGTGGGCCCCAGGAGGAGGCCGGAGCCCTGCAGGCCACCTCTGCCTCGGAGCCAGCCGTACCCGTCCCTGCGCCCTGTCCTCACGGCGGGCCCCCCACACCCTCTGAATGCTTCGGTGGCCACAGAAGATACCGCTCCTTTCCTGTCGCTACCTCCACCCCTACGGCAGAGTGGTCTGGTTGGGTGAACGGGGCACGGAACATGCCCCGTGCCCGCAGAGTCCAGAGGCCACGGGTATTTCTAACATTGCGGCCCACTGCATCCCCCAGAGCGACCGCGAGAAGTCCGAGGGCCTTCCAGTGGCCCCTTTCATGGACCGGGACAAAGTGACCAAAGCCACAGCCCAAATTGGGTTCATCAAGTTTGTCCTGATCCCGATGTTCGAAACGGTGACCAAGGTGAGTGACTGTCACCACGTGCTGAAGACTCATCGAGAGACACACACTTGTGCGCACGCGCTGGTTCACATGCGCGCCCCTGTGCGGTGTGAGGTGGGACCCGAGGCCCCTCCACCGGCACCCAGGGGGCCCTCACCCTCTCGCCTCCCCCTGTCACCCCTCCCAGCCTTCTGGTCTCCGTGCCCCCTGGAGCCGCCCCAGGCTCTCCACTCCCAGGGCACCTCTGCCTTCAGAAGAACCTCCTAACCTGCCCCACTCTACCTGGCACTCGGCCATCCCCAGGCTGATTTCAGCAAGGAGACCATCCCTGCCTCTCTCCTGAACCTTCCACGGCTCCCCATGCCCCCAACACAGGGAGGGCTGCCCCCTCGTTGCACGCAGTCCCCTGCCGTCCTGGGCACGGCTGTCTTACAGGACGGCCCTCAGCTCTTAGTTCTCGCCTTTCTTCACGCCTCCACTTCTGAGTGCGCCCGTTCAGCTGGCCCCAGGCCCATGGCACCCGCCAGCCTTCCAGAACCATCTCGGCGCGTCCTCCCGTAAACCCCATTCGCTGCTACTTCTCTGGGGACTCACCTCCCTGTATATTCCGTGCACGGACTTCCGGGCCTTTGTCACGGCCAGCGGGTGCAGGGGCGCAGGACTGCCACGTGGGCCCTGCCCTCCCCCTGCAGTAGAACCGGGCTGTGACGGGGAAGCGCAGAAGGCATGGGGGGCGTTCCAGGGCCAAGAGCTGCATGCGCAGGGTCCCCCAGGGTGGGGATGGCAGGGTGGCCAAGGCCACGCCACCAGAACCGTCTGGTTCCTCCGGCCACAGGGCTGTCAGGAGACTAGAGACGAGGCTGGCGTCTGGACAACAGACATTCGGGGACAGGCAGGCGGAGGGCAGGGCCATGTGAAGTGAGGACAGAAACAGAGCAGGACCCGGAGGTGGGTGGGAGGCAGGTGTTGGGCCTGCGGGTCTCCAGGAGCCGCTGACCAGACGGCCTCAGGACAGGGGTCACCGGGGACCCCGCTGCAGGTGGCAGCCCAGGGGCTCCGAGGACACTTGTTGTGTGGTCCCCTGGCCCCCCGGTTTCCCAGACGCTTGCCGCCACTTCGAGAATGATGGACCGTGAACCTGTCTGTCTCTCCCAGCTCTTCCCTGTGGTGGAGGAAATCATGCTCCAGCCCCTCTGGGAATCCAGAGATCGTTACGAGGAACTGAAGCAAATGGATGACGCCCTGAGAGAGGTAACAGGTGCCGCGTGGGGAAGGCGGTAGTCCTTGTGGTGCTCGGCGGGAGGGCCCTCTGCACCAGAGCTCATTTCCATTCCCCCTAAATCCAGACCCTGGCAAACCAGGGCACCTTTACTCTCCGTGAAACCAAACTGCCCCAATGCTCTGCACCCCTTGGAGGGGTCAGGCCGTCCCCAGTCCTTGTGCTGTAAACGGATGCGTCAGGGTCTCTCCACGTCTCAGACCCCCTCAGAGCAGCACCCCGGCCCCAATGTGCGTCCCTGTCCTCCTCCTGGCCCCGGGGCTGACCTTGCTCAGTGACAGGGCAGTAGGACGGGTCACTCCCTGCAGGACAGAAGCCACCACCCACATCCCGGAGCTCACAAATGGTGGCTCGGCCCACTCAGGGTCAGGGAGACCAGGCCTCGCTCTAGGTTGCTCTGAGGCCTGGTACTATGTCCAGGGAAGGTCTAGCTCACGTGCTCAGAGCTGGGGTAGAGGCGTTCTGCACGGTCTGTGAGCGGGTCTGGCCACGCCAGGGCCTTGGTGTGTGTACATCTCTGCTTTGGGGACCCCTGCCCCCGGAGACCACGCAGACACCCCCCACACCTCATAGCCAGTCAGCTGGGGTGGGCCTGGCCTCGGCCGCGCCACACACCCCACCCCATACTGTCTCCACCCCTCCTTCAGTCAGGGCCCGCCAGTTATGGTGCCCCCCGGCCTTGCCGCTGGGAACCCCCATGCCCCGCTGAGCGCCAGGTGGTCTCCCAAGTGCACTGTGTTGCTCTCATTCCCCAAACTGCTGTGTGTACAACACCAGGCATATCATCGGTGCTCAGGATTTGCCTACTGGTCCATGGGCCTTCCAGACCCACAGCTGGTTCCACTAGTCGGATCCCTCTACCAGAAGGTCACCGAGAGGTCCTGAGCCTCCAAAGCCTACAAGCAAATGGTACAGAGAGCGATGTCCGAGCAGATGTCCCTGGCAGGCCCCCCGGCAGGATTGCTAAAGCACCTTGGCATTCCTGGGCCCCCCGACAGCCATCGTTATAAAGGTCCCAGGCCTGGCCACCCAGCGGGGGCCACTCGGAACCGCAGGATGCTTTCCTACCCCCAAAAACGACAGACACACAAAAGAGAAAGGGCCGTGGGCTCCGTGCTCACCCCCGCCAGTCCACTGGGCTCTGCAGCCCGGACAAGCTAGCAGTCCAAGCTCGGGACTGTGGCCGAGACGGGGAGGCCTCCCATAGCGGGGAAGGTGGTGGGCACACAGACTGTGCTGCAGACATCCGTCTCCACGACACATTAGCATTTCACTCAATGGGAAGCTCTTTAGCAGATAAGCAGGGACTCACGGGCTCCTGGAACCTGATTGTCCCCTACTCTGTCCTACTTACAGAAGACAGAGAGCCTGACATCCGGGCACACCGACCCGCCGAGAGAGGGAAGCAGAGATGTGAGGAAAAGCGAAGATAATGCCATCCTGAATTGACGTCTCAGCGCATACGGTAATTCAGACAAAACGGGGCAGCAGTGAGGATCTGTAGGGGCGGCAGGGAGGACATAAGGTGGGGAGGGCAGGAAATCCAAATGGCTGGTGGTTTTGAAGTAAGACTTTGATTCCTTGCCTGTAATTCATAGAATTTGGCTCTGAAGGAAGGGGGACATGCTTTGACTGATAGCACAAGATCGGTCACGAGCCTAGGGGCCACTTACAAGGAAAAGCACGTTGTGACAGCTTCCCAGAAATGCAGTATCGCTCACACGGCTGTGAGCATTTTCCAAGCACCTGACGGTAGCTGCTCGTGTGGTGCGTGTCAAAGGCAAACCAGCCCCTTCGGTCTGAAGCATCACGGGAGAGATTCTCAGTTACACAGTGTGCCAGGCGCAGGGCATGGGACGTGGGGTCTGATTTTGTGCAGAGAAGTAGCAACAGGCACAGGCACCCAACAGTCCCAGCTTAGTTTAGGACAAGCTGAGTGACCCGCCCAGGCGTCTCAACCTCTCTGAGCCTCACAGCCTGAATCTCTCCACTAGCGGGGATAATACCATTACTATTGTTGTTTTGTCCGTTAAACGAGCAGAGCACCGGACGACCCCCGGTGCTTGTAACATTGGTGTTTCGTTTTTCAGGCACATCCTATTTTTTAATGGTTCAGAAGAGGGATTGAGATTGTTTTATTTGGCCTAAATGTGTTCAACAGCGTGTGCGGTTTTTAAGCATCGTCTGCACATCATCCTGGGACGTCTGACAGCACCTGCACATTTTCAATCCCCACAGAAGCTTTCTCCCTCTTCCTTTTCCAAGCAGACGGAGCCTGAAGACGGCAGGACAGTCCGGGCCGTGGTTCTGGACCAGGCTGGAGGAGCCGGAGCCTCGCGGGAGCCGACTGTGCAGGGAAAAGTTGACTCTGAGCGCCTACTCCGCCAAGACTGCGTTTTCTAAGAACTGTTTTGTTCACTGATACAAAAAAAAAAAAAAGGAATTCATGATGCTGTACAGAATTTTTATTTTTAAACTGTCTTTTAAATAATATATTCTTATACAGAAACGGGTACTGTACTTTTTCTTTGGTAATGCTGTGTATCCCGGGGCTGCCTCTGAGAGTCCCCAGAGTCCCCCTCAGCTCTCCCGCGGAGACAAGGAACTGTGCTTTCCCCGCAGATGTATCTTAGAACAGTTTTCCAGTGTGATGTGATGCTCCATATCCCGTGTAAATTCAAATTAAATCTCAGGCGGTGCCCGGAGCGTGTCCTGTCTGTGAGCATCGAGGGGACGTTGGTGGCTGTGCGCGGGGAGGCATGGGGCCGGAGGCCGCTTGGTCAGACATGGGTGTGAACACACCACCAGGCCGGTGCCCGTTTACAGGGAGGTGGGCATGGAACACCTCAAACTGCAGATTATACTCAGCACATCTGAGGGTCTCCAGGGAGGGGAGCTGTCCCTTCTTCCTGCCTTTGTTTTGGGGATAAGCACTGGGGACACATTCGAGGTGGCCCTGTGCCCGTGAAGGGAGACCTGAACCCCACTGGTGGGCAGTCAAGCTCTTGAGGGGCAGCACACACCCGAGCCCTCCCCCAACGCCTCGCATGTGTTCAGAGCCCTCGATGCTTCCCGGGCCGCGCACACCTCCTCGGCCCCCTCTCCACACGGAAGAGGCTCCGCTCTGAAGAAGTCTGTAAAGGCCGCCGCATAATCTGCGCTCTGTGGGCATTTCATCTGGTGTTGATTAGTGTCGTCCATGCATTCATTCCCTCTCGGCGAATTCCAGAGCACTACTTTCCATCCCTGAATAATTCATCTTCTGCTGTGACATTTTCCATCACTTCTTGATTCCAGTTCAGTATGAACGGCAGCTTCGGTGACAACAAACTCAGCAGGCATCCAGATGACGGTGCACCTCGGCCTACACGCCACCCTGCACGGGAGGTTTGTGACCTGCTCCCCCAGTGAAAGAGCTCTCTGACCAGTACCTCCCACCTGCTGAGTTGTGCTGAATGCCCACCTCGCCACGCTCTGCCCCTTGTCAAACTTCACACAGCGATGACTGAATTCAGAGCTTGTGCGCACACACACATAACCACACACATATGCATGTGTATACAAGTGCACACGTCCATGCACAGAGACACACAATCACACGTGCACCGGTGTACACACACACACACACACACACACACACAAACCCACTCTAACACACTGTGTGCATTACGGGGCTGAGGTCATACCAAGTCCTGGAATAGGGAAATCAACATCTCGGAGGAAGGAGTCCGTAAGGAGAGCACCTCTGTGACAGTCCCCACCCTTGTGTGGCAGCCTGGTTTCCGTCAGTAGAGACCTCACAAACTGGCACGAGAGCATCAGCCCCCCGCAAAATGCTTCCTCCAACCTCCTGCCTCCAGAATGCTTATGTACTGGGGTCATTCACACCGCATTAGCTGAGCCCATGGGGGTGACGCGGCCCCAGCACGAGTCACCCTCCATATGGACACGGCCCCTCCTTTTACCGCCAGCCAGCCTCTGTCACACAGATGGGGGCCCTGTCACCCAGCTCAGCCTGTTCACCCAGAGCCTGGAACAGCCCTGCCCCGGGAGACTGCACACACGGGGGCTAGGTCAGTGACGGTATCAGCACTGGAGGCTGGCGGGGGGAAGATGTGGCCGAGTGTCAAGTCAGCGTGAAGGATAAAATGTCCGGAGCTGCGCTGCCCATCGAGGGACACACACGATGCCCTGCGCTTTCCAGAACTTGATGGAGCCGGCTGATGCCACGGTCCCACAGGACTGCACCTTCCTGCAAACCAGCCACGCCTCTGTCACCCTGTGTTCACTCGAGGGGACAACAACATGCTGTTCTCCATTGCTCTCCTCCCCCCAGATTTCTAGCAATTGAAGGAGTGATGCATGTGTCAAAAATTGGACCTGACAGACCCCACACATCTCGCTCCTAAATGTCATGCACCAGCTAGGCACTGGAGAGGTGCTGCCTTGGGGTGCAGCCCCCCACCCCGTTTCTCCCCCTGCCGAGCAGGCCAGCACTGACCTCGAGGGTGAGGAGAGACAAAAGGAGAAATGTCTGTCACTCCCACCTGGGATGGGGACCCCAGGGCCCGACGCCCCACACTGCCTGTCCTGTGTCTGACCACAGCACCTTGCAGCTTCCTCCCATCATACCGTCCAAAGCCAATGGGACAGTCTGCCCTTGCTGGCATCTTTAACCAAATCCCATCGGAAAATCAATTCCACGTGATGCTTGAAGGAACACTAAACATACAAAATACTTAATCTCCGATAAACAGCCACTGGCGTCCGGTGGCCTCTGGTACAGAGGAGGAACCGTTCCACATGGCCGGGGGCCACGGAGCTGTCCCGCTGCGTTCCCCGCCCCCCGCCCCGCAGGAAATGCCCGACTCCGTTCTCGCTCCACGGCAGGTGTGGGTCCCACCGCGGGAAGGGCTGACGAGGGACAATGTGTCCGGCTGATGCGCTAGCCAAGAGGCTCTGCTCTGGCTCACTGCTTTTCCAGTATCACCACAGGAGAGTTTTTAAAGTTTAAATCACAAGAATTTAACTGTAGTCTCTCTAAGGGGCAGATAAAATTGCCGCTCTGGATTTGGGGGGCTATTTTCGATCAGTAGCTAAGAGGAGCTGGGTGAGGATGTTAGGGACTCACACAGCGCCCCCCCCCCCCGTGTCCTCAGCAAGTTTTCCCAGCCTCACTGCCAGCCCTGTGTCCTGTTGGCTGATGAACGCAGGGAGCCACGTGAAGGTCTGATGAGGCAGCATCCACATCGGGGCCTCGGTGTGACAGGGGCCCTGCAGCCAGGACAGGTGGTGGGCTTGTGAGGCTGGGGTGGGCGGACAGGGCCGCCAGGCGGTGCATTCAGATGGGGACAAGGCGGGGCCTGGGCGGCAGGCCTTCGGGAATGTGTCTGTGCAGAATGGCCACATGCAGAAGCCAGAGGCCAGTGAGGGAGACACCCCGTGTCATCAGGAAGAGAGGGAGGTGGGTTCGAGGGGCCGAGGGGCCACTAAGGCGGTCACTTAACAAGGGGGGATGTCCACCTGCGGTCACCACCAAGTGAGCTTGACCAGTGGTGACCCAGCCCTGCTGTGCACTAGCCTTCCCTGGCTCGGACGCACAGGAGGAAGCCTGGCTCCCAGTGAAGTCCCAACAGCCCAGAAGTTGGGCTGGGGTGACTTGAACTGTTCACAGACAGACACCCTACACAAAACGATCTCCCAGGACCACACGCACCTTAGGAGCAGCACTGATGTGATGTATGCACTAGGAACTCAGACACTGGCCAACTGAGTGAGTCTGAGTGTGTGGTCACTAACCTACAGAATCACGTAAGAGGGAAAAAAATCATACTGCAAAATGTGTGTGCGCGCTCACGGTGGGCGACAGGGATACTCCTGCAGGTGTGCGTAGTTGTGTGAGGCTGTGTGTGCGTGCACATTTATAAGCATATGTGTGCCTGTTACGCACCTGGCCTTGCTCCCAGCTGAGAAAGGAAGTTGAAAAGATGGAAAGATGCAAGTTTTCGTGCCTGGCTTGGTTTGCAGACCCAATGCGCAAGGAACCTTTGGGCTGCATTAAGGGAAAAGGGACAGGTGTGGAGGAGAGGGACGCTGCAGCCAGACGGGGCTCGGAAGTATCCTGCAGCATCCAGAAATTAGTCATGGCAGGGAGAACTCCGGACCGATTTCGGCTGTTTTCCTGGAAAGTTATTTTACAGAAAACTCAAGATGCACTGGGCGTGCCAACTGGAATGTAACAGAAGGCCATACGAAGCAAATGTGGCTGGCTGACCAGCCTGCATGTTCGCAGGGCTGCCGGCGGAGGCCCAGAGTCGCCCATTAAAGAACTGATGTGCATCCGCCGGGTGCTGGGCGACCCAGAGGAAGTGGCCAGCTGCACACACTCAGCGGCCACCACTCTGGAAACGCCTGCTTGCCGCCGGCTGGATACGTGCAGCGTGCCGACCACGGTTTCCCGGTTGGAAGGAACCACACAGAACTGTTCCTTCTGTTTATATATCGCCCCCCGCCTCGGACAGGCCCGTCCACCCTGAACGGTAACCCGGGGAGGCCTGCCAAGCCAGCCTCCACCTTCGGCAGCCCGGCCGCTAACATCCAGCCGGGACTGCTCCTTCCCTCCTGTGCTGGTCCAGCATCTGCTGTCCCCAGGGAGGGTCATCCAGAGGCCACCTGTTCTGCAAAGAGCCTGGCAAGACTGCGCTTGGACCCTTCTGGGCTTCTCTACTCACTGCCTGCAAGCACTCCCCGCCTTCTGCATGAGTGTCCTGTGGCAGCCACCAACATAAACAACAGAGATTCTGTCACGGTTCAGGAGGCAAAAGGTCCAAAACCAAGGTGTGGGCTGGGCTGCACTCTGGATCCTTCCTTTCCTCTTCCTGATTCTGGTGGCTACCAGCGGTCCTTGGCAGCCCTGGGTTTGTGGCTGCATCGCCCCAATCTCTGCCTCTGTGCTCACGTGGCCTCCTCCCTGCATGTCTCTGTGTCCAAATGTCCTTCTGCTCTGGGGACACCAGTCACTGGATCCAGGTCCAGCTTACCTCCGGGCGACCTCATCCTAACTTTATTATATCTGCAAAGACCCTATTTCCAAACAAGTTCACATTCACAGGTGCAAGTGGTCATGATCTTTTGCGGGGGACAAGTTCAACCCCCTCCACCCACCCTGGTCAGCTTTCCCATCTATCTCTGCCTCTCCCATTGTGTGGTTAAACACACGCATGCCGAGCGCTCGGCACGATGTCCGGCTCTCAGCTCTGCATAAGCAGCAGGTCCCCCCAGGAGCCTGCCTCTCTCCCCAAGGGTGAGGGCATCAATGTCCCATGGCCACTACTGACGTGCACCACCTGTCCTGAGCAGGGTCATGGCTCAGCTCTCTGGGATGTTTTCTCTCGGCAGGTCTTCCTCAAACAAGCCAGGCTCTGAGGGAGGCAGAGGGCAGGTACCTGTGAAATGGGACGTCAGCAGACTTGGGCCAGCAGGGTCTCTCTGGGAGGCCCAGAGGGACTCCCAGGACACAGGTGGCAGAAAGGAGTCAGAAGGGAAGGTTGACAGGAAGGTACAGACCCAGGAAGATACAGTGTGAGCATCTGCTCAGGCAAACTCAAACCTGCAATGTTTGCTGCTTTCCCGCATCTGGTTATGA